CTCAACGGCCTCCCCATATCTCCCCATATCTCCCCGTATCTCCCCATATCTCCCCATATCTCCCCATATCTCCCCATATCTCCCCATATCTCCCCATATCTCCCCATATCTCCCCATATCTCCCCACATATCTCCCCGTACCTCGTACGGCCTCCCCATATCTCCCCAGATCTCCCACATATCCCCCCGTACCTCGTACGGCCTCCCCGACGGCGTTTCTGCGGAGAGGCGCGTGTACCTGGGGGGGGGGGGGGGGGGAGGCTGGGATGGGGGTTTCCGGAAGGGTTTCAGAAGGGTCCCGGGGGGTTTAGGAAGGGATTCGGGGGAAACGAAAGGTCTCGGAAGCTACCGTTTCGGAGGGGTTTGGGAAACTTTTTGTTTTTGTTTGATTCCCAGGCACCGCAGCCGCCGCGGGGGCAGGGTCGCGCGCTCGCGTTGCTCGGGATCCGGGCGCTCGGGGTTGGACTCTCCTAATGAGTCGGCGAGAGGACACGTGACGGGTCACTGAATGAAACGCAATCAGAGGTTGTTCCGCGGGGTTGGGCCTTTCCCTCAAATCCCTCACACACTATTAAGATCGCACAGTTATGACCCCCCCCCCCCCCCCCCGATGAACACACCAGCGAGGGAGGGCGAGACGATCGAGGGGTCCCGTACCATGCGGAATCGACCCTATCCAGTGCTCAAGTGCTCAAGTGCTCAAGTGCTCAAGATCGCACATGTCCCTCCCATCTCCCCGCCTCAGAGTTTGACCGCTTTATCTATTGATTGATTTGGGACTCTCGCCTATGTGATGAATCGGTGTGGGGGTGGGGTGTCAGAGAAGGAGGTGTGATGGCTTTGAACCACAGGCTGCGTGCTCGCGACATTCATGTGTGTGTGTGTCTCATCAGCCGAAAAGAGGTGAGGGGAGGTGTGAAGAGTGCAGATCTCACCACAGCTCTCAGCCACACAAGCTGTCCCTCGGCTGTCTCTCGGCTGTGTCTCGGCTGTGTCTGACTCGGCTGTCTCTCGGCTGTGCCTCTCTCAGCTCCATCTCTGCCTCCGCCGCCCGCGATGACGGCGGCGCGGACGGCGGCGAGGTCGGCGGGCGCAACCGCCGCGGGCACCTGATGCGGTGAGGTAATTAGGGTAAAAGGACAACTTCTCGACGCATGCACGGGGCGAGGGGCAAGCCTTGGGCGCACACAAGGTCAG